AGTCCTGGGATCGAGCCCCGCATCAGGCTCTCTACTCGGTGGGAAGCCTGCTTCTCCCCTTTCCCCTCCCCCTGCTTATGTTCCCCCTCTCTCTCTCTCTCTCTGTCAAATAAATAAATAAAATCTTAAAAAAAAAAATAAAGTTACCAAGATTCAAGGCTGTTTGTTGCTGCAGCATGACCTGGGCTATCCTGACTGATACAAGGGGATGGACTTTACCTGGGTGGGGCAGCAGAGACCAGAGAAGATACACAAGGTGTAGGGATGGGGCTGCACAGCAGTTCTGGCATCTCAGCTTAGCACATAGACACCTCCGTGTCTGCTGCCCTCATTCCCACCACTCCTGTAACACCCAACACACACCACCCACTCCGGTGTACACCCTCCTGATGCCCTCACACTGCCATATAGCACCCAACTTCAAGCCTTGTGACTACGATTTCTTCTCTCTTCCCTTCCATCTGGTCAAGCATCTTAACCATTCCTGAGGGCACAGATAAGGCCCCATGTCCTGCAAGGCATCTCTCTACCCACAGAGATCAGCAGAAACACTCTGGAATGACCGCAGTGTCTGTGGTCAGGAGGCGTCTTTGGGACTTAACTGGGTGCCTTTAGCCTCTTCCATGTTAAGAAGCCTCTACTCCATAGAGCGGTGATGAGGCCAAAGGCTCCAGTTCCTCTGTGTCTGGCAAGCTCATAGCAGATACTCCATAAATACCGAATAAATAGAGAGAAGTGCCATGAACGTAATATTTCTTGAGTATCCACAGAGGCTGAGTAAAAATTCAGGTACTTCTACTAAGATATCATTTGTACTAATGAGATTAACCAATTCATAACCAAATACTATGATCACTGGAGGGCAACAAGATGACTGGCAGAAAACTCCTTTTGCCCTTTCCTTTTACCCTTCTACCCTTTTACCTTTTCCTGGGTCAGAGGTGAGCGTGTATTTGAGGCTCACCTCTGCCTACCACCTGCCGTCCCTTGGGTCAGGGTCAGTGTCGGCACCTAGAATGAACCTAGCTGCTGGTTAGCAAAGGTGTCAGGGAGGGTAAGGGAACAGTGGAGAAATCAGGAAAATCCAGACTTGCTGCTACTTTTAGCGGCTATCTATATCCCACTGGTCTTTTCTAGAGACCCAGAAAACAATGAAAGAGATTTCCAAAGAGGTTCAGAGAAGTCTATCATTTTGCAGTAAAGGCACTGAAACACGTGCCACACCTGGGTCAACATCTGATTCTCTGGACCCTTGACACAAGAATCTGCTCACTCCTTCCTGAGGCTTTGTTTGCTAGCAGACATCAGGATGGCACAGGGGAGTGCCCTCCTCTCATCATTTCAGGGAATGTGGGATCCCAGACCATCGGCTAGGACTCAAAGACATCACTTCTAACACATCCCCACCTTTCCCAGGCTCCGCAGGAAACTGCCCCATAAGAAGGTGTGCCCATTAGGGTTCCAGTGACGATTTCATCACCTTGCTCAACAGCCAGCACTGCGGGCCAACAAGTTCTTCAGACAGGAAGTCCTTCTCAAGGACTAATCAGACGCTCTGTTGCTGCTGTTGTGCACATTAATTTTCCTCCCTTGGCACTTCTGTGCAGACAGAGAAGAGTGGCTAGCTCCTGACCTCATACAACCTTTCATATACCTTTGGCTTTCTTCCCTGAATACTAAATCCCATGCTGGCACCCAGAGACGTTTTCTAAATGCACCAGGTTGCACTCTCTCCTATCAGCTACTCTCCTGTAAATCATCTCCACAATGATTCCCCCACTACAGTGAAAAGCTGGAAACGACTACAGCTTCCTAAGGGACAAGATGATAGATGAGTTCTCTCGGAAAGAGGCCGCCAGGACGCCAAATAATCCCTAATATGGCTGAATCCCAGTTGTGGACGGTTAGAGAGCCCAATTTCCTCTGAGCCCCTTCCTCCCATCTCATGGGACTCAGCCTGCCCTAGGTTATCCCCACTTTGTAGGGCTCAGAGAAGGCAAGGGTTTTCCCCTTCCTCTTCTCCTCATATTAGTTGAAATAACAAAATAAATAATCCAGTGCATGGCTAACCCCCAAATGGAACCTGCACCGGGGCTATTCCTTCAGGGCAGGGTCGGTGACCTGCCACACAGAGCTCCCCAGGCAGAGTATAGAACCTCAGCATCCTCCAGCGGCTCCCACTCTCCTGGGCCCAAGTGGCTAAGGGGGAATGCCAGCTCAGCCAGCCACCCTAGTTTCAATCTACCTTTAGTTCCCTCTGAAATTCTCCCCTGTGGGTGAATGTGGGGTGGCAGAGCTGGTCCACCATCCCAATGACCTCAAAAAGCTCAGCAAAGTTGGTGGCCAGAGGAACAGGGCCCACCAGGGACCGACTGTATGGACTGGGCCTGGGCTAACTCAGTGCCGTCTCGGGAGTCTTAACTGAGTGACTACTGTGTGCAAAGCCCTAGGGCAGGAGTGGTCAGGGATAGAGAAGCATCCCTAGCGCTCATCTCAAGGTCGACCAGCTGGCTGAGGGGACAGTCAAATGTACGTGGAAGAGTTTGATTCGGCATGAATTTGTGCCCCAGGAGCCCCCTCCCAAAAAGGCTTCGTCCTCTGGGCTTATTAGGGAAGAGAGTCAGGTTTACATGTGTATTTAAAATTTTAATTTCAGTGTTTTTTGTTTTTTTTTTTTTTTTAGAGAGAGAGAGAGAGAGAAAGCAAGTAGGGAGGAAGGGGCAGAGGGAGAGGGAGCGATCCCAAGTAGGCTCTGTGCTCAGTGCAGAGCCTAACGCTGGGCTTGATTCCATGACCTGAGATCACGACTTGATCCAAAATCAAGAGTTGGACGCTCAACCAACTGAGCCACCTGGATGCCCCAAGGCAGGTTTATTTTAACCAGACCCCATTTCCACCCTTCTGGGGCTCTTCTTCATAATGAGCCTATGTCTCAGTTCTACTTTCCAGGAAAGAATCAAATATGAGCCTTTTATGATTTCTTCTTTAAAGTCACTTGCATTCATTTTGTCTAACTCCACGTACCCAAGCCAACTGTTCAACTGCTTTCTGGAGGTGGGATTGGGGTGCTTGTGGTACTAGGGTGCCCCCTCCCACAGGCCTCCCAGTCCTGCTCCATCAGCCTAGGGTCTGGCCGACTCCCCACCCACCATCCTCCAGGGGCGTGAACCTGGCCATGAAAGGATGCCATGGGGTGAGGGAGGCAGGTGAAGGGGAAGTGGGAGCATAAGTCGTTCTCTGCCCCCTGGAATCCTGTTTGGAATGACAGGTGAATGAGACCGGAGGGAATGGGTGGGAAGAGGGGGCCCAGAAAAGGTGATTAAGGGGAGAGGGGGAAAAAAAAGGAAGATTCTGGAAGATTCCAGAGCCAGACACCTACTAACCAAATAATAGAGAGCTAGTATTTTGGTCTTTCATTTATCAGCCATTTATGTCCCCTATCCAAGAATTTAACCCTTCCCTGGAACCCTCTGGTTCTTGAGTCTCCAGACCCAAGCTCACTATTGCCCCTGAAGAGTTAAGGGAGTCTTCAGGTAGGAAATCCCAGGGCAATTGGCAGGCAGTGCTCTGATGTGCCAGGCCTCAGGCCATAGCTAGAGGGATTCAGGGAGGATAACACAGGGTTCCTGACCAAGTACTAGCATTCTAGTGGCAGGGACAACAGTCCTCCATGGAAGGATACCTATTACAGTAAAGCAAAGTAAATGGCCAAATGGGGGGAGCGGCAGGTGAGAGACCTGGGTTCAAGTCCCAGCTGGGTGAGTCATGACACCTCCATGGACTTCAGTTACAAAGTGGAGTGGAGAAGCTAGACAGTCCCCCAGAGGTCACTGAGTTCCCTGAGTTTTATAGGAGGAAGCTGAGGATGAGAAGAATTTCTACCCAGTTTGTGGCAGAGCAAACTGGAGAACCTGGGTCTCTTGCCTCCTCCCCTCCCCACCACCCCAACCCAGGGCTCTTGTCCGGCCTCCTGCCCAAGAAACAACGAAACACACACAACAACCTGTAGTGTGAGAGGGCAGCCATCCCCCCACACCATGGAGGACAAAGCCCTGCAGTCTAAGAAAGATCTAGAACTGAGGCCACCGACCATCTTCACTTAGGACAGAAGAGAGAGGAGTTTATTTAACTGGTGCCATGGGACTGAAGTCAGACACAAGCAAGCAGGCTCAGGGCAATGTGTGAACGCAGCTGCTCTGAAATTTCGAACAAGTGAGTGCAGGAGCCCATGTCTCTCTGGACAGGTACAGCACGGACCTGGGCTTGTGGTTCCTTTCAGCCTCCAATCCCATGGTCTTCCAGGAATAAGGTATCAGCAAAAACAGATGGACAACCAGGGGATATAGGATGCCTGAGGGTTACCAGAGCAGCTGTCTCTTTCCTACCAGCCACAAACCCCACACCTGTGTGGGTGCCCCCTTGGGATCTCACAGGAAAGCAGCAGGGAGAGAAGCAGCGGGCTCCAGCAGGGAACAGGAAGCTGGATGGCTGGGGGGCAGGGAGCACTGACAGCTCACCCCCACATTCTGCCCCTCTAGGTCCTCTGCTCACCTGGACCAGAAGTGATCTCAAATGCCCCACCAGCACCCGAACCTTAGGAATCCCACTGTTTGCGAGATCTATCACCAATGCTGATGTGCAAACCTCCAAGTTCATTCAGGCTACGACTGTATACAACTCAACACCTCATTTATCCACTCCCCTCTCAACGGACGTGCAGTTGTTTGCAGGTATTGATGCAAAAATCGTCAAATGACCAAAAAAAAAAAAAATCAAACCAAAAAACCTCAAGAATCTATGTGTTTTAAGGAGAGCGTGCTTCACTGTGGGCTGGGTATTCGGGGAGAACCTTCCAGAGAGCGGACCACACACTCCCCTCTCTTATTTCCTGCTCTCTCCACATCACCCAGCCCAGGAGAGCCATCACAAAGCCAGCCCAGGAACGCGGACAGACAAGACACGTGACCACCCCCAGAAGGCGCACAAAGCTGGTTCCCTACCTGCTGTGGGGGAGCTCGGCCTCGGGAGAAGGAACAGCTGCTGTCCAGCTGCTCACTGCAGTCTGTTGTCCACTGCAGGAGAGAAAGGAGTGGTCAGTGATGGCTGGACATGTAGGCTCGTCCTCACCCTACCGGGGCCTTCCTGGGACAGCCCTGCCCTTCTGCAGGAGAACCGGGATAACATCCTACTTGGCCATTTTCAAAGACAAATCCTTCCCTACCAGCAGGTTCACTTTGGCATCTCCAAATTCCACCTTGAGGTGACCCCTCTGGTGTATGCTTGGGGAAGGCAAAGTTCCTTCCCTTAACCTAAGCCCACCAGAGGGATCGAGACCAGCTGCCTTGCAGAGTCAACCACATAGGACAAAATTTATTTACTTTGAACAACCAGCAGTGTATCTGACTGCCTGAGCTGGAGGGGAGCACAGACGTGTGGAACTTCCCATGCACTCAGCTCCAGAGGACAAGGGGCCCGTGGGCTGACAGGAAGAGCCCCAGACTGGCCATCAGAAGCCTGGCTCCAGCTCAGTCCCAGCACTCACTCCTCAAGAGCTCAGAGACCGGGGGTGCCCCAAAGTGGTCTGATGACCACTTGCTTGAGATTCCCCGAAACCTGCCACTCAGAAGTCCCTGGGTCCTACCCTCCACCCTCGGTGAGGGTGGGGCTGAGCTGCGGCATTTTGACAAGCTGCCCTCGTGATGCACCGGAGGCTTGAGAGCCACTGAAATCATGGATTTCCCAGGCTTTGTCTGGTCACCTACAAAATGCAGCCAGCAAGGCTGGCTGACTGCAAGGCTGAAATGAAGGATTTCTGTAAAACTATAAAGACACCGTAGAGATGTGAAATAGTAGTAACAGCACAGCTTTTCCTCTGTAAGGTGCCATGGAGCTATGTGGTGGTGTTTTTATTATTGTGTTAAATGCTAGCTAGCCCCTTAGGCTAATGTTGAACACTGACCTTGACCTACACCCTGTGTGATACACAAAGAACAGAGGAGTCCAATATCGATATTTGACATACTTGGTCAAAACAGAGTGAGCGTGAATGGCTCAAGGCCAGTGCGGTCTGGGTGTTGGAAAACCTTAGCTGGCCACACCCTCCTGACTGCAGGTCAAGGGCATGACCTTTATTACGGGTACCAGTATACTCTTAGCTATCCAAACAAAATAACATGAGAGCCACAAGCATAGGAGCCACAGAGGTAATTTTAAATGATTTAGCAGCCAGATTTTACAAAGGAAAAGGTTAACTTAAATTTAATAATATATTTTATTTCTCTCAATATACCCAAAATAAGATCCCTTCAACGGGTAATTAATATAAAACATTATTTTAAAAAAATATTTATTTATTTATTTGAGAGAGAGCGAGCGAGAACATGCACGCACGCATATGTGTTGGGGGGAGGGGGAGAGGGAGAGAGAATCTCAAGCAATTCCCTGCTGAGTGTGGAGCCCCAGGTGGGGCTCGATCTCACCACCCTGAGATCATGACCTGTGCCAAAATCAAGGGCTGGGCCCTTAACCGACTGAGCCACGCAGGTGCTCCTAAAACATTATTAATGAGATCTTTTATATTCTTTCCATACCAAGTTTTTGAAATCCACTTAGAGCACATGTCCAGCTGGGCACTGCAGAGGAGCTGACCCCTGCAGACTGCGATTCCCAGACTCCTGCGTTGGCTGGCTTCCAGCTCCGCTCGGCCACTAGGAGGCAGGAAGAAGGCGTTTCTCCCTTCCCTCTATGCTTCAGGGGGCCCTACCGGCAGGGACTGTGTCTCCTTCATGGCTCTAGACCTCACCAGAGGTGAAGAGTCATGATCTTGACTCCTGGACTTTTGCAACCCATCTCTCCTCCTTCTGTGCCTCAGGCCTGGAGGTGGGATTGCTGATCTCTGGCTCTTTTTTGCTTCTCAGTTCTATCACCTGGGTAACCAACTGCCTGGAATAAATTTCCTCTGTCTGGATATTTGCAGTCTCAAAGCATCTCCCCCAAGATAGTTACTAGTTGTATTAATTATTAATTATAATAAATATATTTATTAATTATGCGAAGGAAAGTGAGAAATCTGCCGGACACCACCTTAACCGAGAGATGGGGGATAACACTGGCCATATGAAGCCTGTCAGCTTCGTGGACTCCCCAGTATGATGTGTCGAAGACGGCCCATCCCTTCTGAAGCATTCTTGCCAAGAATGCACAACCTCCATCTAATCAGGAGGAAATACCAGGCAACCCAAATAGAACAACTTTCTGGGAAACAGGTAACCAGCAGTCCTCGAGTCAAGGTCATGGAAAACCAGACCCAGGAAGGGTACACAGATAAGAGGAGAATAAGGAGACATGGCAACTTGTTGCCAGTCTGGATCCTGGAACAGAAAATCAGACGTTCGTGGGAGAACCAGTAAAATTCAGATAAAGTCTCATGATACCAATGTTAATTCCTGAGTTCTCATGACGGTACTATGGTGATATAAGGTGTTCATATTAGGGGAAGCTGGACAGGTCCGTGGGAACATGCTGTACTATGTTTACACCTTTAAGTTTAGTTAAAATAAATTCAAAATAATAAGTAATACGTACCTGTATTTATACACACATATTTTTGAATGATATATATAGACACACATATGTACGTACATATGTGCATAAAGTACTTAAACTATTATAAAGACAGTTTTTATATACTTGCAGTGGCTTCTCCTTTCCTGGCTGGGATGGCCAAGGCATGCAGCAACTATAGGCTGGGACCACGTGCCCTCCACGCCATCCTAGGACAGCCTTGTGGAGAAAGGCTTCCCCCAACCCAGGTGTCCCCAACACCTCATCCCCAGCTGCAGAGCACCTGGGTGACATCTCCTGGAATAGTGACTTGTTGGTGGGCACACTGCTGGGGTGAGCAAGCAGGGTGGGGACGATGGCTCCTCTTGCCAAGCAAGCAGAGAAAAGGCTAAGGTTTCACTCACTGCTAGAGGCAAACTCGGCCCTCCGGTTAGGCTATCGGAGAGGGGTCCCGAGCTCCTGAGAGATGTCCCTTCTTTGTCAAAGCCATCCTTAACTCAGTATCCGCCCACCAGAAGCCATTTCTCAGGCGCTTTTGGAGGGGGACCTGCAATAAACACCTCCCTTCCCAGGAGAAGCGAGCCCTCCCTCCGATAACAGCAATGCCACGTGGACGGCGAGACTGAGAGGAGGAAGAGCGTGCCCTTGGCAGGCGGCTGAGGGGTGGGTGCAGGGAAGGAAAATGGGCAAGTGGGGATTCCCGGAGAAGCACGAGCCTGGACATGGACATAAGCAGTGGGACAGCCGCCAGCTCAGAGGCTGATGGCAGCAAGCACGACTCTCTGGTCAAGGCACTCGGAGACTTTTCCGGTAGACAGGGTCAGAAGAAGGGGGGTGACCTTGCTAGGGAAGGACGTCATCAGAGCCGTGTCAGGGAAGGCTAACTAGCCCGGGTGGGGGCAGGGTGGGAAGCGGGGCAGGAGGCTTGGGTCCAGCATCCAGGTTCCCACTGGCAGTGGAGGCAAAGACGGAAATGAAGAAATGGATCTGGGAGTGTGGTACAGACAAGCAGCAAGCGGAGGGGCTGCTCCGTGTGAAGGAGAGCAAGCAAGGTGGTCAAGCCTGCAGAAACCCACCCCAGAGACCCAGTCAGGGCTGGACAGAGGCAGGTCCCTGGGCAAAGTGGTTGCGGAAGGGACTGTGGTCCAGCTGGGCATAGCTTTCCTGCCCCCAGCCCCTTGCCCCGGAAGGAATTCAGCGTGAATCCCTGCACTTATCCCACAAAGCTGTGCCCACGGGGCTGGGCTCACAAAGCACCCAGCTCCAGCAGGCACCCAGCTCCAGCGCCTGAAGGAGCAGCAGTCCCGGGACGGCTGGGATCACCACCAGCAGGGATGAGGGCTCCTTCCTCGCTCCCTAAAGCCCATTGGGAACTCTCCCTTTCCCACTCCAAAGCTCCTCCCCACCTCTGCTGGGATTGCTCCTAGGCCCTAGCCCCAACCCACTGCCTCCCCCTCGCCTTTTCGGAACCATCACCTAGAAAAATCCCCAGACGCAGACCTTCCCCAAGTTTGTCCTTATCTGTCTGAGATGATTCTAGAACAGAGAAAAGATTCTGCCTGGAGAGCAGGCCCAGCTGGCCCATCCCCCGCCGCCTGATTCCACACTAGAGAGTTTCTCCTTCAAGGAAAACCGGTTTACTGCTAGGAGCAAGTCCTCTGGGGAAAGAGGTGGTGTCCTCCTGAGAAGGTCACTGAACACAAGGAGGCAGGAAAAGTGGGACATTTTCCTATATGGAAACGATGATCATCGAAATCGTAAGAGTGGTGTGGGGCCTCCAGCCCGCTGCTATGATTTATTTCTTACTTTAAATACCTGAAACACAGATGGCACAGGGTGAAGACTTCATAAACAGGGGAGTACAGATGCTTATTCTATACTCAAAATAGATGCTTATTCTGTTACTCTTCGCTCTTATCGGCACAATTAAATTATCTCACAGCAGGGGCACCTGGCTGGCTCGGCTGGGGGGGGCAGGTGACTCTTCATTTCAGGGTTACAAGATCAAACTCCACATTGGGTGTAGAGATCACTTACTAATCTTAAGCAATAAATTAAAAAAATTCATAATAAAAAAAATATAACCTGCTGTCTTGTCTTCTGTATCCCAGGAGGGACAGTATTTTAGGATCCGACTTGGTAAAAGACAGGGGGTACCCATGGGGCCCTGGGGGAGGAAAAGCACAGAGTGGGGGGGTGCTGAGGGTATACTTTTCAGGGGTATGAAGCCCCCCAGGGACTGTACTTCCCGATATCCAAGTACATTACAAGGCTTGAGCCAAACCAGCAAGTTGACTCAGTACAGGACGAGACAAAGAGACAAATGGCAAAACTGCATCCATGCACCTACAGATGTACAAATGGGAATTCAGATCCTAGATTATATTATGATGAGCTAGTGTTTCCAGTCAGGGGAAAGGAGAGATCATCAATAAACACTGGGATTGAGACAACTGGAGGAAAGTGAGGAAAAAGTACCTTTGATGTCTGCCTCACACTGTCAACAGCA